TTAAGGGCGACGTTAGTCATTATAACATCAATTTGCAACAAATTAGATAGTTAAGGGGGTTTTACGTGCACTTGTTTCTTCACAGAAGTTTCTTGCAAAAAATTCAAAGTAGGGGGGAATTTAATGCAATTTGTTCCATATAATATGAATAAGGACATTTTTGTCTCAAAAATATTTCCCATCCACTATGTTACCCCCCTTAAATAGTTGGAGGGGCTTTTTTGGCAAAAAATTAGTCGATGGTAGTTTATTGCAAAACGCGAATAGTCGAGGGGGGTTTATTGCACTTTGCCCAAATGATTATTCTAATGCTTTTTTCAGATAGCAGAACTTTTAAAAGGGACATATATGTTACAACACGATCGCATAAATATAAATATGTGAAAACTAATAATATCCTAAAATAACATAATCAATAAATTAAATATAATTTTAAATCAATGGGCGTAATTGTTTCTTGTAAATAGTTGAAGCATCTCATGGGTGCAATCAAAATATCATATGGCAGCATTATTTTCGAGATTCAACTAAGCCAGATTCAACAATCTGTGACACCCTCTATGAACCCATGTATTCATCTCCGTCTAATCATTTGTCCAAATTAAAATATAATTTAAGAAATTATATTTAAATGCATATATCAATATATATTGTTGATGATGGATTTTGCGCAACCCGGATATGATCTAACTTCCTGAACAGAGAGAAGAAAATGTGACCCTACAAGCACTGGTGTATTACCGGTGGAGTAGGCTCCGACGAATAAGTCAGTATGCGAACTAATCTCTTAAGAGAAATCAAGAACTTGAGTTAGGGATTTTTGCGTACCTCAAAACGTTGATTAGCCCGCCTTCTTTATAGGGCTTAGGTCAAGATGTCACGTAGAGTTACTTTATCATAATCTGTAAACTTAATCCTTATCGTAATCTTTAATCCTTATCATAATCTTTAATCCTTATCGTAATCTGCATAGCCTATCTCAATCTTATGAGATAGTGCGTTAATTTAGCATTCTTCCCTTAATCATGGATATTTAAATTATACATCCATCAGTTGCCCCCCGTTTCGGAGGATTGCTTGTCAAACAACCAGAACATTAATTCCAAAGCATTACATAATAATATATAGTTAGAATTGTAGAGTCTTGTCCATTAGCCTGACTTATATTGCCACTTCGCAAATATAGTCGGGAGTCGTAGTGCCACATTGGCAGCTCGTATATGTGGCAAGCTCGTATATTTGTCGTATATTGGCAAGCTCGTATATTTGTCGTAGTGCTACATTGGCAGCTCGTATATGTGGCAAGCTGCCATGCTGGCAGCTTACCATTATTTGGCAAGCTGCCATGCTGGCAGTCTACCGTCATGTGGCAGTCTACCGTCATATGGCAAGCTGCCATGCGGGCAGCTTATTATTATGTGGTAAGCTGCCATGCTGGCAGCCTACTGTTATTTGGCCAAGTTGCTATGCTGGCAGTCTAATGTTATGTGGCAAGCTGCCATGCTGGCAGTCTAATGTTATGTGGCAAGCTGCCATGTTGGCATGCTAATAGCCTACCATTATTTGGCAAGCTGGCATGCTCGCAGCCTATCGTTATTTGGCAAGTTGCCATGCTGGCAGCCTACTGTTATTTGGCAAGTTGCCATGCTGGCAGCCTATCGTTATGTGGCAAGCTGCCATGCTGGCATGTTGGCAGCCTACCATTATTTGGCAAGCTGCCATGCTGGCTTACTGGAAGCCTACAGTTATGTGGCAAGCTGCCATGCTGGCAGCCTACCGTTATGTGGCAAGCTGCCATGCTGGCATACTAGCAGCCTACAATTATGTGGCAAGTTGCCATGCTGGCAGCCTACCGTTATTTGGCAAGCTACCATGCTGGCTTACTGGCAACTTACAGTTATGTGGCAAGCTGCCATGCTGGCAGCCTACCGTTATTTGGCAAGCTGCCATGCTGGCAACCTACTGTTATGTAGTAAGCTGGCATGCTAGCAGCCTATCGTTATTAGGCAAGTTGCCATGCTGGAAGCCTACCGTTATGTGTTGTTACAATTAGTTTCCATTTATATTTGTAGGGTTCATGAGTAGGATGGATAGTTATGTTTTGCCATTGCGATTGTCGCATTATGTAATTTAATACTTCATCTTATTGACATCTTTAGTCGGCTCATCCCTTTAATAAGGAAAGTAGATTAAGACGAGTTTCATGCAGCTCGTAATAAGGTAAATAGATGAATACGAGGTTCACTCAGCTCACCCTTTAATAGGGGAAGTAGATTACTTTGAGCTTCACCTAGCTCACCCTTTAACAAGGAAAGTAGATTACTATGAGCTTCAACCAGCTCACCCTTTGACAAGAGAAGTAGATTACTATGAGTTTCACCCAACTCACCCTTTAGCAAGGGAAGTAGATTATTTAATTCCTTCACCTTCTGCAGGTAACTCTTCATCTTCTTGTCCTTTACCTCATATTCCACTCGAACTTGTCCACCGACCGGCTGGGATTCGGTGTACACCTTTAATTGTTCAACCCCTAGGGCATTTGCCATATTTAATCCTGCTATCAAGGCTTCGTACTCTGCCTCGTTGTTGGTTGCTTTAAAACCAAACCGAAGTGCGTACTGTATACTTTCTCCCTTTGGGGAGACAAGAACAAGCCCAGCTCCACTAGCCTGAACATTAGATAACCCATCAACGAACAAGTTCCAGACTACTTATGAACCTATCTGCTTGCTTGAACCTGGTTCTGCCAAAAATTAGGGTTGTTTCTCCTCTTCTGGAGGGGTAAACTCAGCTAAGAAATCAGCCAACACCTAGGCCTTTACTGCTGTTCTTGGCTTGTACTGAATGTCGAACTCTCCTAACTCTACTGACCACTTCATCAGTCGACCAGAGATTTCTGGCTTGTGTAGGACCTGTCGGAGGGGTTGATCTGTTAGCACCACTATTATATATGCTTGAAAGTATGGTCTCAGTTTCCTGGTAGACACAATTAAAGCAAAGGCTAGCTATTCCATCATTGGATATCTTTCCTCTGCACCCTTAAGTGCTTTGCTCACAAAGTACACTGGCCTTTGGACCCCTTCTTCTTTTCGTATCAGAGCTGAACTGACAGCTGTAGTGGAGACCGCAAGGTATATGTATAGTTCCTCTCTCGGTATGGTTCGAGACAGTAGTGGAGGAGAACTAAGGTATTGTTTTAGTTCTTTGAATGCCTGTTCACACTCTGGGGTACATTCAAAAGCCTTCTTTAGCACACAAAAGAAAGGTAGGCACCTGTCAGTTGACCGAGAGATTAACCTACTTAAGGCAGCAATCTTCCCTATTAGTCATTGTAGATCCTTAGTTGATCTTAGTGATCTCATGTCAATAACTGCACGAATCTTCTCTGGATTGGCCTCAATTCCTCTTCTGCTTACCATATATCCTAAGAACTTTCTTGAGGAAACCCCAAAGGCACACTTGCTGGGGTTGAGTTTCATCTTATGCCTCCTAAGTACCTCGAAGGTCTCCTGCAGGTCAGTTAAATGGTCTTCAGCTTTTAAGCTTTTCACTAACATGTCATCAACATATACCTCCATGTTTTTACCAATTTGGTGTTTAAATATTGCATTCACTAGCCTTTGGTATGTTGCACCAGCGTTCTTGAGCCCAAAAGGCATTACTTTGTAACAGTACAAACCTCTATTAGTGATAAAGGCCATTTTTTCTCTATCTAAGGTGTACATAGATATCTGGTTGTATCCAGAATATGCATCCATGAAACTTGGTAGTTCATGTCCAACCATTCCCTCAACGAGTATAATGATTCTTGGAAGAGGAAAGCTGTCCTTCGAGCAAGCTTTGTTAAGGTCGGTGAAATCCACACATAACCTCCACTTTCCATTTGCCTTCTTCACTAAGACCACATTTGCCAGCCAGTCGGGGTAGTACACCTCTTGAATAAAGTTGGCTTTTAAGAGCTTTTCCACTTCTTTTGATATAGCCTGATTCCTTTCTGGAGCGAAAGTCCTCCTCTTTTGTCTGACAGGTTTGAAGTTAGGATTTATATTTAGGCGGTGCTCCATGATAGTTGGGTCTATACCCGGCATGTCTTCATGCGCCCATGCAAATACGTCTCGATTCTTTCTAAGGAATTGAGTAAGTTCATTTTTGATACCTGGGGGGAGTAAAGACCCTACACTCACTTTCTTCTCTGGCTCATCATCACCAAGGATGACCTCTTCTAGTTTCTCTGTAGGTTCCACTCTATAAAAGTCTTGCCTATCTCTCCCTTCTAACTCTTTAATCATGAGTGCCTCTTGTGATTTTGTTTTTCTGAGAGAGGCGACATAACATTCTCGAGCCATTGTTTGGTCCCCTCTTAGCTCTCCCATACCATATTCGGTTAGGAAAAGCATCAGGAGATGGTAAGTGGAAGTGATTGCTTTTATGGCATTCAATGTTGTCCTCCCCAGGATAATGTTGTATGATGATGGGCAGTCCACGACTAGAAAGTCCACCATTATAGTGACTTGCTTTGGATTGGCTCTTATAGTGACTGGAAGGGTAACTGCCCCCTGTGGATATACTTTGTCACCTGAAAATCCTACCAGTGGTGACTTCATAGGTCAGAGCTTCTCTCGGCCGATTTTTAATTTGTCGTACACCCCGAGAAATAGTATGTTAACCGAGCTACCGTTGTCTATCAGTATTCGTCGCACAGTGAAATTAGCGACGACCATGGAAACTACCAGAGGGTCATCACGGGGCTGGTGAATTCCCTTATCATCTTCTTCAAAAAAGGTTATAACCGGCTCTTCAACTCTCAGTAATTTCGTTGGAGGGCTTGTCATTCCAACTTCATTCACCTCTGAAAAATTCCGAATTCTCCTAGCATGTGGCCTCCGAGTCAAACTCATTTCTCCACCACCAGCGAAGCCACCCGATATAACTTTGATCTCACCCATTGGTTGGTGTTAAGGAAGACGATCATCTCGGCCCTCTCGGGTTAGGTTGGAGCCTCATTTTCCATTTCCAGTCGTGAATTTGCGTAAATGACCCTTACGAACAAGGTTCTTGATCTGATTTTTGAGGTTGAAACAATCTTCTATGTTATGTCCATGGTCCCAGTGGAACCTACAGTTTTTATCTCGAGACCTCTTTGCTGGATCAGCTTTTAGCTTTGACGGCCATTTCAATGATGCGTCATCTTGAATCTGCAGAAAGACCTGCTCTATTGATGTATTTAGGGGGGTGTAGTTATTATACCTGTAATACCCCTAGTTTTCAAAAGGATAAGATTGGAATTTAATTTAATTTTATTTGTGTGGATTTGTGCTTAGGTGTCAAATTTTGAATTTGCAGAGTGGGTTGGTTTAATTAATTGTTTTGAATTAATTAATTGTTTAAATTGTAGTTTTTATTTTCTTTAATTGAATTAAATTCGCTTTTAATTGTTTAAATGCTTTGTTGTTTTTCTAACTTGTTATTATGTGAATTATTTATTTAATTGTTATTTTTCTAACTTGCTTGAAGTATCTTGAAGTATTTGCCCTAATTGTGATTGTGATTTTTTTTGAATTACTTGTTATTAGGTGCATTTATTTAAATTGTATGTCATTATTTGTTTAATTGTTTAAGTTAATTAGGTTTAGGTTTACAGTTTTTAGTTCTGCCGACAGTGGATTATAACCTAGGATTGTTTATGGGCCGAGTGAGTTATATTAGGGTTTTATTTGAGCCTAGGGTTAGTTTATCTATAAATACTTATCTAAGGGGTTTGCCTAGGGTTTTAGAATACCATTACAACACAGTAAGGTGGTGAGAAGTTTTGGAGTAGTTGGGAGGAAACGGAAACAAAGGTGTCGCCGGAGAATTGAGACGGGGAAAGGCTAAAGGCAAGTTCTAACCTCATCTCTTTCCCTTTTACTTGTGTTCTTTGCATGCCAAAGTAGTTCCAGGAAATCGTTAAATGGAATTTAAAACTGACTCTGCATGTTTAGAACTCCTTATAACAGTATGTGCTGGAACTTGTTACGAACTGCTTGTTTTGTATTTAACCGTGCAATTGTTCTTTTAAATTATTGTTAATCAATGGTAGAAGGGGTTAGATGGGTTTCCTCTGGGTGGTTTTGAACACAAACAAGGGTGTTAAAAGCTGTAACACAGAGGGACGGAAGTAGTGCAGGCAACCGGAGAAGAAACAAATGAACAGAGGAAAGGGAGAACTGGAGGCGACTCCAAAAGACCATGGATCCGGCTCTACATGGTGTGGAGCCGACTCTACCATGGTCTGGAGCCAGTTTAAGCATTGATGGAGGCGGCTCCACCTTGTGGGAGCCTGCTCTCCTCGTGTGTTTCCAATTTTGTGAGTTTTTGAGAGTTCTGGGGCTGGTTTTGTTATGGTAGAGGTGTTTATGAGCTGTAAATGGGACTTGGGGTTGATGAGTGGGATTAATTTAGGTCTTTAGAGGGCTCATTAATTCATATTCAACCAACCAGTAATGTTATTTGGAACAATATAGAAATTCTAAGCAAACTAGTAAACTGTTTTGGGACTTAGAATCTAAACCACACAGCCTTAGTTGTAGCAGTTTATTTGGGAATGGAGTTAGGCTCTGTTCATGTTTCTATGATGGATTATAGGCATGTAAGCCTGCAGAATGAATTACATGCCTGTAAGGGATGAATGTGTGCACTTACATTGAGTGTGTTGTTCACACCTGAACAATGGTGGAGTAGTATAGGATAAGTATGTAAGTTTGTAATACAAATCTATCATGCTTATTTGAATTCATTTAAGGACTATATATATTTGATATGTATTAAAAATCATGGAACTGGTTGAGGTAGGGTTAAATAAGTTTGTTAATTAACAAGGTTTTGGCATGCATAATTTGAAGCAGTTCATATTTACAATTTAGTGAGTGACTGTGGACTTGTTGGATATACTATAGAGTGGATAATTACATTTATTATTTGTATGGTCAACTGTGAATGTTGGATTACTGCTGGATAGGTTATATAGCTGATAATTGCATTTATTACCTCTGTTGTCAATCTAATTGGATGTCGGACTGGAATTAATTGAAGAATTATACATATATATTTTCTGTCAATTAACGGGATGAATGCTGGATTTGAACTTGATGATTTAGTAAACTTTGTCTCGTTAGTACATGGATGGATTCTGGATTGTTAGTTGATGAACTGTTTAAATTCTGTATTATTAACTATATGGATTATGTGAACTTTCTTTGATGAACTACTCAAAATGTTGCATCATTACGGATCATTTGCATGGTATACACCGGTATGGGACGGTGGGATACGGAGGGATGGATTAGATCAAAACACTAATCCCTACCAATTCATACATATGGAATGGATTAACTAAAATAGTTAAATCCTACATGGTTTCATGTCCTGTCAACTAAAATAGTTGAACGACATATTGGATGGTTATTTATATTTCTGTATTAGGAAGGATAGGGTTTTAACTAAAACGTTTAAAATCCTGATTAAATGTGGTGTCTTGAGCGACAAACAATTGAGCGGCACTACATTGGCTTGGATGGGAATTTATATATATAAATTATGGTACCGTGATCTGAGTTTGAGTCTCACAGTCGACGGTTAGGGTGCGTAGATGCAGTAGGATGCGTAGCTAGCTATGTTGGTTGAGGTATACCCTATTAGGTTTAGGTACTCATGCCCACCCTTGGGTGCGTTTTCGCATGTTGCCTTCTATTCAGGTTGAGACCCCCTCCATAGTCTAGTGAGAGTCCTGTAGTGTGAATATACTTATGTAAGGACTGTTAGCTATTGTTGAACTGCTTAGGATTTACATGCGTATCGAGCACCTGCTTAGATTGTAGAAGGTTAGAACTTGTTCGTGGGCCTGACCCACTTCTATTTTTCAGGTACATGACAGTTCCAGACTTAGATGTGTTCGTGCTGAGCAGAGGATTCTATTCACACTCCCGACGATGTAGGATTTTTTTTTCCATGTTTAAGACTTGGGTTTCTTCCCAGCTATGAAATTTTCAATTGGGATTTGTAGGGGTCCACTAGATGGATTCCCGAGTTGTATTAGAAATGGAGAATTTGAATGTATCAGAATAATTCTTTATTAATTAAATTTTATTCTGAGGTTTTTGGATTATCATTCTAGTTTCTTTTCAGCAATTTATTTATTCTTGTTTTCTTAATTGTATTCTGTGTTCGTTAGCTGCTAATTGATTTGATATCCACGGGTAATCGAGCGTGGGCCTGGCCAACCCGCATCCGAAAATTCTAGGGTATCACAATACCTGCCTCGGCTCACTGGACGGCGAGACGATCTGTCAGCCTGGGTGTTTAAGAATTTCTTGTACTTCGATTCCCTTTCCTCCCTAGTGTTAGGTGTTGGCCTCTTTTTATCCGACCTCTTATCTTCACTATCCTTATTTTTTCGTGCATTCATAACATCCTCAGCGTTTATGTGCTTTTGTGCTCTAACCATAAACTTTGTCATGCTCGTAGGGGCTTCCTTTGACAAGGAAAACAGGAACTTAGAAGTCTGTAGTCCTCCCATAAAGGCTGTGAGGGCAACCTTGTCGTCCACCTCTTCTAGCTGCAGCATTTCAATGTTAAAGTGACTTATGTAATCACGAAGAGGCTCTCTCTTCTGCTGCTTCATATTCAATAAATGTGTTGCTGGTCTCCTATGCTTCTGCCCAGCGATGAAGTGTCCTATGAATTGTTTGCTCAACTCTTCTAAGTTTTCAATTGAGCTTGGTTTTAATTTATTGAACTAGAGATGAGCCCAACCCTTTAGTATGGCAGGGAAAGCCCTTCACATAATCTCGTCCAGTACGGCTTGCAAATATATAAGAGCTTTGTACGTCTCCAAATCGTCGAGAGGATCTCGTGTCCCATTGAAGCTCTCAAGAGTTAACATCTTAAATTTTCTAGGTAGAGGACAACTTATTCCAGTTGGGCTAAAAGCTAGGTTGGTCTTCTGTACCATATCGTTCACTGCGGCCTGGCCCTTCCCATTCATCGCTTACATGACGTCTTTAACCCTAGCTTTCAGATCCTGCATCTTTTGATCGAAATGGGTGACGTCCTCCTTCTTGTCACCAACATAACTAGAAGTATCTCCACGGAGCCTGGTGGTATTCTGCTCAGGAGACTGATGGTGGTGGATCCTCTGTTGTCTCCTTATTTGACTAAACTCAACGTCGTTGTTAACCCTACGAGAGTCATTGTTTGGTACTTCACCGTTTCTCTCCTCGTTGGGGGCGGCTAAGCATTGCAGAATCATCGCATTTTGCTGGACTAACTGGTTCATTTCGTCATGTAAGGTTTGAACCTTTTGTTCCAACGCTGCGACGCGTTCCTGATCGTTTGGGACGACGAGGGGTTGCCTCATCGAGTCCCCTTGATCAGAAGTTTGCAACGCTTCATCCTCGCCAGCAGCCAGACCAGATTGCAATCGAACCATACTTTATTTAGAGAACTAAAATTGTTCGCACAGATGGCGCCAACTGTTGATGATGGATTCTGCGCAACCCGGATATGATCTAACTTCCTAAACAGAAAGAAGAAAATGTGATTTTAAAAGCACCGGTGTGTTACTGGTGGAGTAGGCTCTGACGAATAAGTCAGTATGCGAACTAATCTCTTAAGAGAAATCAAGAACTTGAGTTAGGGTTTTTTGCGTACCTCAAAACGTTGATTAGCCCGCCTTCTTTATAGGGCTTAGGTCAAGATGTCACATAGAGACCTTATCGTAATCTGTAAACTTAATCCTTATCGTAATCTTTAATCGTTATCATAATCTTTAATCTTTATCGTAATCTGTAGAGCCTATCTCAATCTTATGAGATAGTGAGTTAATTTAGCATTCTTCCCTTAATCATAGATATTTAAATTATACATCCATCATATATATATATAGATATTGAATGTACCTATGTGGAAATTTTAGAATTCCATAATTTGTTACCCAAAAGTTGGCCAAAATTTCAATTTTGATTGTTGAAATTGTCACTGGAATCCGGATTAGAAGGTCAGAACCTTCGCTGGAGCCTTATTGGTACCTCGCCGAAATTGTCACCGGAATCTGGGTTTTACGCTAGAGTTTCGCCAAAAACTTCATGAGTCTCATCGAAAACTTCATCGATTCCTCATCGGAATCTAGGTTTGTCGGCCATAATCTTCATCGGACCTTCATCGGAATCCACGCTAGGTAACCGGAATCTTAATCGAATCTTTATCAGAATTCAAGATTGGTCGCCGGAAACCTCATTGGTGTGTCACCGGATTTCTCTTTTTCTCATTCTATTAGACTTATTCTCAAGCTTGGCACACCTCCTATGGGCCCAGCTCAAGCCCTTTTATAGTGATCCAAATAAAAGTGGTTTAAATTTGATCATTAATCTAGTAAGCCCAAAGGTCAGCCTACTTCCCATGTTAGACAACTTAGATTGCTCGATCTTGTAGCCGCTTGAGCAACCTAACAATCTCAAGAGATCAGATGGCTATGAATATTTGATCATGTAACCGATCAAGGAAGATGATCAGTGTTGATAAGGAGTGAAAATTCCATCCTTCTCGCGGGCATTCGTGACTCGGACCCGAGGCTTCTTGTGCAAAATAGAAATTCCTAGTTTCCATCACCAACTAGGCAACTTCTTGTTTTTGTTATAAAATAGGGAACTAATATATTTAAAGTATATTTTGAAATCCTTTATAAAAATAACCATCTATTTTAAAACACGTTACAACAATCCCCCGCCAGTTTTAAAATTTAGAATATAATATTTGGACGATTGGTACAGTTATGTGCATCAGTAATGGTGTCTTTTGTATCAACCTCCTCAGTTACAAGATTGAACACCCATATCACATCATAGGGGAAGGAACATTGATGTCCTCACACAAGTTATTATGCTACTTGTTTTTCCCATTCAACCCAGGAAAAATATCGCTGGGTTGGGTTGCTATAACATTACAATATCGATTACAGGCTTTAAATCCAATCCCTTTAGATGTCTCAGACATCAGGTCCCCTCACATATCTTTGACAGTGGATCTGCCAAATGAGATTTTTCTTTAGACACTAGGTCCATTCACATGTCTTTCACAGAAAACTGTGATAATCCATTAGCCAGGATCTCTTCCATATGATTGTGCTTCAATTGCAACTATCTTCAAGTTGTTGGAACCAGATCACATAAATGACAATATATCTTATGACGACCCTGTTTTTTTTTTTTTTCAAGCCAGTGCGTCTTGTGATGAACCAAAAGATAACTCGATAACGGATCCGAAATGCAGAAGCCAAATGACCTTAAGAGATGTACGTCATCCCTAAAGCCCCAAAGTGACTCTCCATGAAGCCACAGAACTCAAATGAGTCTAATAAATGAAGCAAGAATGCCTAAACCTAAAAGAAATGAACCAAGGGCAAAATGGTCAATTCTCACTAAAATGGGTGCCATCGTGCACACCATTGGAAGGACAACGAAAAATGAATAAAATTAGACTCAAGAATCGTCTAATACTGAGTCCGGGCAAAAAAGATATGAAATTCCCACACCTGATGCGAAAGTTATGAAGCAATGACTTAACATTTTCCAATATTTTCATAATAAACTTTGAAAACAAAAGTGCATAAAAAATGAGATACATGTCATTGGCCTCCGGCCTCATTTTATACATGTTAAATACATTGAAAAGAGTGTACTTATGCACACTTTACATATACGAATCAAAGAATACAAGTTTTGACATATAGGGCTACAAATAGGATTTCATGCCAACATTTTCATGAAAATGATACTTCAAGTCTACGAAACTTCCATGGCATAGTGTGCATCCCAAATCAAGTCCTTATACCTGAAAAATGTTCCCACTATGTGGGTGAGTAACATAAAGCTACTCGTAGGAAATGAGCATGCATCGACCTAGCATTTTACAAAATTATCACCTTAAGGTGAAACATGTTAAAGGAGCTCATGCCACCTAACGTCTATATCAAGATGAGACTCAGGGAGCATCCTAAGCTACCTTGGAGTGTTTCTAGCATAAATTACCTCATTCATGCATTTCAACAACATAGAAACATGTTATACAAAATAACAAGATATAGATTCTCAAAGTCATCAACTTGAAATCTAAAATACGAAAACAACAAGAGTGGGTCATGCCACCTAACGTCTATATTCAAAATGAATCTATAGGATCATTCCTAAATTACATTTGAACATCAAAATACAAATCATAATATCGATGCAATTTAACCAACATTGGAACTTCCAATACAACGCATAAAACATGATTTCTCAAAGTTAACGTCTTGCAACTTAAAATGGGAAATCAAACAAAGAACAACAAGTTACCATATCATCTAGTTATCAACTTGAAATGAAATGCGAAATCAACCAAAGTGGATACTTGGACGTCATGCCAGATCAGACAGACACCATAGTTACATTAGGGTTACTAGCCCATAGTAAACCTTCCTATGTGCGCACTAGACTATATAGAGGGACAATCCCCCGTACTAGAACCAAGTCCTAGCCGTAACCAAACAACGACAACCCCAAGTTTTCAAAATCAACAAGTTGTGCAACAACGTATATATCAACATGTATATACAAGATAATCAACTATCTACCACGCACAACCAAATTTGGAAACACATACAATACATGCTCTAAGTCCACAATTACTATGGCATGAAAGATGTCAAATACAAAATGTGCAACTCATCACACAAGATAATGATATATTCAATAGGGAAAACATATTCTCATGAATATAAATATAAAAACTATGTTATCCAATGCTCAAAATGTAACCAAGTGAATATACAACAATTCCAAGTCCATGATTTAAACATAGAAACAACTTCCCAAAACACAATTAAATCCATGGAGCAATTAAATAGAATTTAATTAAACAAAAATAATTAAATTCTCTAGATTTCAATTCAATTCCAAATGGCTTCAAATTAATACACGTCAAAGATCACATTGTGGTCATTACATATGTTATATCAATACTTTACTTTAAGCCTTGAGTAGTAAAACAAAATTTAATTAAATATAAATAATTAAATTTTCTAGATTTCAACATTCATCAAAATATCCCAAATTTAATATATGTTAAACAACATATCAAGACAATCACTAATATCAACTCAAAAGTTTAATTACTTTATTGGAATAGTCGAATAGAATTTAATTAAATAAAAATAATTAAATTCCTAGATTTCAAAATATCTTCAAATCCTTCAATTTAATATATAACAAATATTGATTCATGATAATCACAAATATCAAGTCAAGGCCTAACTAAATACCAAGTACTTAATTAATTTTATACAATATACAACTATGTGAATTAAATTTTTAATTAATGACTAATTAAATTAAATCCTAAATTTCATGCATAAACATAGCATAAGCATCAAAAATAATAAATCACATACCACATAAACCTATAATCATCCCCTACCTCAACTGGAATAAAATTTCCAATTACGACCGAAATGAAATTGCCCCAAATTTTTAGTCCGCAAGACAGATTTTTCAGCTTGTTACCTTCAACTTGTAAAATTCATAAAAAATTCAATTCTAACCAAAATTGAATGAATCCAAAGCACAATGAAAGCTTAAACACTGTAATTTGATAATATAAATTTATTTTAACAAAATATTTTCCCAATTGAAACAGTTTTGACCCACAACTTTGAAACAAATTCTGCCCAGAAAAACACATTTTCAGCCTGTAGCTTCCAACTTTGAAAATTCATGAAAAATTCATTTGACATCCAAATTGGGCAAACTTAATTTATTTTGGAAATAAACATATGAGAATGTAAAACTGAAAATTTAATCCATGATCCAATGTCAAAAGGTTAGTGAAATAAATCATCTAAAAATATGTTTTTCAGCTGCAATAAAAACATGAACAACAGATAGTTTCGGATTTTTAATAAAATTTATACATGCTCTAAAATTGTGAAAAAATTCTGAGTAGTGTAATACG